ATTCAAGTTTTTCAATTCTCATTGAAGGATTGAATTAAAAAATAAATTAATTGAACTAATTTGTAATTCCGTTGATTTTGACCTCAAATTATGAGAAAATAAGTGAAATAAGTTATGTCTCAATGTCCTGATGTTCCGAAATCCCCTGATTTAACCCAGAAAATTCAAGCAAAAATGCCAGTTCTCTAGAAAGCGAGAACTAATCAGGCCGAGTGACTTGGAGTATCGAGTGGTTTCCTCCCTCATCCTCTTTTCCATCCCATTAAAGCCCATCAGGAGAGTTAAGAAGACTTATGCCAGTGGGATGTTTACTCGTGCCTGTTACCACGCCGAAGAACAGAGAGGCGCCTCACTGACTGCCGCTGATCGAGCGTACGGCTCGACTGGGGTTCTCTCGAATACTCGGAATCAATCCCATGGATGTCCACCGACGTACACTCCGGCTGTGATTCATGGGGGGATTCAAATTGACGGAGTGGAAAAATGAATGTAGTTATGGAGCTTGACGTCTTTTTAAAGTTGTTTGAATGGACTCCAGTTGAGGCGCCGAGTGGGGGAAAAACATTTTCTATCCCCGAAAAAATAATTATTCATCGTTAAAAATTTAGAATTACAAATGAATTCTAATTTTAAGGCCATTAATCTTTCAAATTCTTTTTTCTATCATTAAAAAAAAATAATAGCGTTCAACCGATGCCATTTTAGGGCCGTCAGAAACATGAATTATTTATAACGAAAGTGTGACAATGACAATAATTTTTATATTGGACACAGGATTTTCATTTTTTTTTAGATTTTTATCTTCTCCCGAACCTTGAAAAGTTGATTTTTTTATAAAACTGCATAATTACTATTAATTATACTTATAATAGATTAATTATAGACTTCGGATCGACCGCAAACTTAACCAAAAAATCTAAAATAAATTATGAAAAAAGGAGAATGTTTTTAGAATTTATTTTAGATTTTAATCTTCAAATTTAAATTATGTTTAATTCGAAATTCTGGCCTCAATCGGGTGGAAGGTAGTTGAGAAAGTATAAATATCCGGGGGTAGATTTACCCTGAGGTGACTGAATGTATCTCCTTGACAGACGCTTTTGAATCGTGGAATTTCAAACACCTTCGAAAATTCTGTAGATATTTTTCAGGCGTCGTTATTCAATTGATAATTCAATCAGCTCACGGACATGCGTCAGCTCCTGAAACATGCGATATATCTGAAGGCTCAGTGACATGCTACTCAGGTTACGTGTCTTAACAGTCGAATGTCTGCACGGGACCTCAATAACTGGCTCCAGAGGCGGAAGATGTCGGAAGACAAATGAACCGGGAATTTCTAGTCAGAAATGTATTTATTCAATGGAATTGAATAAAAATTAGATAAATTCAGGGGATGTGATCCTGAATATTCACGTTGTGATTGAAAATGTAAACAAATTGTGGGAATTTTGGTGTTCGTTTCACCGAAATTTCAAATTCCTTGATTCTGTCTCTCATCTCTCCCGAAAATTACTAATAAATTGTAATATTCCATTAACCTATTTTATCACTGAGCCAATCCCACTCAGACCTCCCCAAAAACCCCGGAGAAATTGAAGGAGTTTCTATGACAATATATTTGAAATTGAATTAAATGATTCATTGAATTTAACATTGCCCCAACGTTAAAATTTTTTCCCACACGGAGAGAAATGTTCAGTAAAAATTACAGAACCCGCAATTCACTCCCCGATTACAGAATCGACTCAAAAAATTTACGTGACGGTATCGTAATTTTTCACATGAGATTCAGATAAAAATTACCAAACGTTCCGGAAAAATTCCACGTAATTTTTATTGAATATTTCTCTCCGTGCATTCCCTGAATATTGGTTTCAAAATATTTTTTTTCATCAACAGACGATGCAATCGACCTCACGGTGAAACTCGGTGAAGATGACACTGGGAAAATATTTTAAACCACAATAGGACTCATTTAAAAAATTATTTTACGGTTATCGTCGATAAACTTTCGGTCTAAAAAAACATTCGAACTCCCGCAGCCAAAATTCACAATCCACCCACAAAAAATTGGCAATTTCGGATTTGCCGAGTACAGTGCTTCCACTCGGAAGCAAAAGGCCTCATCCATGCGAATTACCAGGACCGTTGGATTCCCTGTACGTGCGACCTTGAACCGCAACTATTTCGAGATGGCCACGCGTAGACTGGTCGGCTGGTCTGTATCTCTTTTTATTTGCCATTTCACTCCGCCAAAAAGCCTCGTATTTCTCACATCCACTCGCTCCCATTTTTTTTCTCGCATCCGGGTGGAGCTCCACCGTCGTTCCCACCGCAGTACAACTATCCCAAAAAATATGTGATCGCCCATTTGGTTGACATTTCATAGTACCCCACATTACCGGATAATGAACGGACTAAAAGTACGAGTCGCGGGGATCCGGTGGCCGTGAAAATGCCACCCTCTCGTGCGACTCCTGCCAAGGCTCCCTGCGTTCATCCGATAATTTATCCGATCGTTTTTGCAAGACTCCCCATTGGGTGTACGTATTCTAGAATCAACGCCAGTTGACCTCCGGATCGAAAATAGTTGGCTAAGGATTTTGCGTGTTCTTCCTCGGGGCTTTTGCCATCAATTCACATCTGTTGGGACGTTAAATTCAGCAAAGTTGGATTTACAGATGGATAGACAACTCCTTCGTGATTTCAATGGCCTCGTATTCGTCATATTCACACAGTAAACCACAAATAATGACAAAATCAATGGGAATAAAATATAACAAGTCATTTTTTTGTTTTGGAAAGCTGGAAAAAGAAGATATGATTTTAATTTTTAGGATTTTGACGAAATTTCAGACAAATTTTTACGTCTTTATGAATTTAATGGCAAAGTATTTGTGATATTCATTCAGTAAACCACAAATAATGAAATAAATTATAAAAATAAAAGGCAAAACCTTTTTTTGCTTTGAAAAATCGGACACAGAAGATATGATTTTAATTTTTAGGACTTTGAGGAAATTTCCGATAAATTTTTACGTCTTCAGAAATTTAATGGCAAAGTATTCGTTATATTCATTCAGCGAACCACAAATAATGAAAAAAATTATAAAAATAAAAGGCAACACCTTTTTTTTGCTTTGAAAAACCGGAAATTAAAGATATGAATTTAATTTTTACTACTTTGAGGAAATTTCCGATAAATTTTCTGGGTGATTTTTGCTCCACTCGTCTCTCATGTGCCACATGTGTGTACAATGGCCTCAAATGGTGACTCGAATTTCAAAAAGACACATTGCCCTTCCCGAAATCAAAGAAGTTGGAAATTGCCACCATTCGCGACGTGTTCCACGAAATATCATCTATTAAGCCGCATTTACCGATCATTTATTTACACTGGGCACCTGCCAAGTGCACGACAAACATGCACTCCCGGTCTGGAGGCTCCGCCGATGCCTGGATTATCCCCTTTCTTCCAACTGTTCGAACGAACCTCAAGTCTCAATTTTCGTCAGCGTCATTCCTATATTAAACTGCTAGAGCTTCATTGAATTGTTTCCTTCGGAAATTTAGCTCTTCCTATGCAGTGCTGTACCTGCTACGGAAGTTGTGTCAATTGAATTCCACTCACTGAGCGCTGGATTTCGTCATCAGGGGGAGAATTTCCTCGAGTAGATGCTCTGAATACGAATGCGGGAGGCGTAAATTTGAGTGATGACGGCATTAGCTAAATGCCGTACAACATCTCGGACGACATTTTTATCTAATTCCCTTTTTAGAAAATGGTCGAGGGAACGATGGATATTTTTATTTATGTTCACAGCGTCAAGAGTCCCGCGGAAATACAATGTAAAAAACAAATTAATTGAATTAATTTTTTTCTTCTAATTTTAAATGAAAACTCCTTTTCTTAATTCTTAAAATAAATTAATAAAAGTGATGAATTGCAATAAACAAATATTCACTTCAGTTCAAGTATGAGCTGTTGCCTCGAAGAGTGGGAAATTCTCCTCTTGGAAAATTCATTCGGAAATTTAGAACATCTCGGACGGCATTTTTAAGTATTTCCTGTTTAGAAAGTGTTCGAGGGCACCCGATCTTAAATGAAAATTCCTTTTCGTAATTCTTAAAATGAATTAATCAAAGTGATAAATTGCAATAAAAAATATTCACTTCAATTCAAATATGAGCTAGTGCCTCGAATGAGTGGGAAATTCTCCTCTGGGAAATTCACCCAGAAATTTTAAACAGTTATTCCGTTATGTTCCGTCAGTTCTACAGCTCAAATACCTCGAAGAGTCTCTCGGTTTGTCTCGCATTACCATAATTATGAGCCGTCTCCGATACAAAGAGCAATCGACGTGTGCGTGTGTTATCGGATATTTCTCAGCTGGACACTCTCGGCATAAGCAATGACAGAAAGAGAAAAAACCACGTGAAGAAGGCCACCGGGACTCCACTGCGGTTTGCCGTTGATTATTTCAGGAGCGATTCAGTCACTATGCGTCTCAATGAAAGTAAAATTCATCTCCATGAGAGCGCGCTCTTTTTGCTTCCACATGGGAGCATTGAAATCGCTCAATTGTTAAATTCAACTTATGAAATTTTTATCACATTATAGTTTCATAGAAATTTCAAAGAATTGAAAATTCTGGGGAACTATAACTGTGATATGTCATTGAAGAGACAAAATTTTTAAAAAAATTGAATGAAAACTGGAAAATTGAGCCCAATTATTCAGGGAAATTGATGGAACTCAGGAAAATTCTGGTAAATATATTCTTGAATTTTCAGTGAAATAAAAAATTTCATCATTTTTTTTCAACTAAATCGAGTTTAATGTCACTCTCCGGAAAATTTCTGGTCAACGGTCCAAAATATTCAATTTTTTCTCTGTAGACTGGTGCCCAAATTTAATTTATTAAATCACCGCCTAAACTACCCTCTGTATAAATAAAAGTTCAACGACACTGTTTATTATTGTTGTCTTTACTCACCATTCCGTGACAGAGACTGACAGAAACAACGGATTTGGGATCGCCGTCGACGACTCCAGTGTAGAAACACCCCAGTTGATGACCCGGGGGCTCCCACTTTGTTTTGTTTTTAGTCATGTGTGTCACCTTGACAGAGAATTCACAACAAATGTTTCAGAATGACATTTCAACTTTTTGACTCACAGATTTCAAAAGGAAATTCATGCGAAGCATTAATTTTTCAATTTTCAAATCCAATTATTCATTAGTATCATTAATTAAAAATGAATAGCAATGATTGATCAATAATAATATTGATTTATAATTTTGTTTCTCTGATATTTCAAGGAATTTCGTAATTGAAAATTTAAAATTATATTGAAAAACCAATGGAAAGTATAAATTTCCGTTCAATTATTTTACGAACATTAATAAAAAATTATGAAAATTTAAGAAATTTCATTGAATGTCAATAAAAATTGAATATAATCTTATGCCTCTAAAAATTCCAAGTCCCCCATGAAATTTCAAGCCATTTATTTTCATAGAGTTTAAAGATTTCATTTTAGATACCGTCGAAAATGTTCAATTTAACCCTCACCTTTATTGCTTGCGAGATGAAGCTATTATCGTGCGTCAGCCGCAGTCGAAATAGCCTCCCAAAAGCGGTGAACTCATACTGCGGATGAGGATCCCAAACCTCCGCGGATGAATGCCTGAAATGACCGGTGTGATGTCGCCTGGCAATGTTATCACCCACAGCTGGCGAGAAAAAAAATCATCCAACAATCATCAACTGGACCTCAGAATATTCAAACAACAGAATAACGCAAAGAAAACCGGTTACGTCGTTTGACTACCGATGATTAATCACAGCTGGGGACATTATGAGAAAGATCATTGAGTAATCTTGTCATCTGTATCGAGGGTACAAAAAGGCTTTTAGGCGATGCAAATCAGGAATTTGATCCTGTCATTCCATTGGCTTAAGTATGAATAACAATGTTCACCTAGGTTTGAATAGACAGTTGGATTATAGTTTCGAATATCGGATGATTAATGACTAGTGGACAATTGATTTAGTATTACAATACTTGAGGAGTCATGAATACTTCCTGGAAGTAGTAACTCAGTGTTGAGGGGAATTGATTGCATAATTATCCAATCAATTCCCCTCAATTAAGTAATCACTGTGATCAGAAAAATTAAAAACCAGGAAAATATTCTGCGAAATTGAAGCATTTACGCTGAGTTGCGTGTGAGAGATGTTTTGTTGTGTTTGCATTTGAAATTTTTCGATTCACTTCTAAAATATTTTCATATTTATTTCAATAAAAATGTTTTGATGCAATAAAATCATTAGTTCATTTCTTTCAAATAAATCCTATCAGCATCCAATAACCATTTAATTTTCTGGAATTAAACTCGAGTTGAGATTTGAATAAAAGTTGAATTAAAATTTTCTCATCAAAATGTTCCATTTTCTACGAAACTTTACTGTAAGCAGTAACTCAGTGTTGATGGGAATTGATTGGATGATTATACATCAATTAAGTAATCACGGTGATCAGCAAAATTAATAACCAGGAAAATACTCTAGGCAATTAAAGCATTTGCTGAATTGCATCAATTTAGTTGTAAAATGAACGAAGTTCTCATGTAAACTGAGTAATTTCAGGAGGAAATCTCAAATTATTCATGACGATTGACACATTTATTCCAATAAAAGTATTACAATTAAATAATATAAATAATTAATTCACTCTCAATAAATCGTCTCCACAAAATTCAGACAGAAGAATTTTACATCCCCAATAAAATCATCTCCGAATTTCAAAAATTCTACTCACGAGGATCCTCATACTGATTCTGACTGATCTTCACCGGCTGCACATACTCAAATCCTCCCGGTCTACTATTCACCTCCTGCTCACTCCTCACAAAATCCGGTGAAACTGAAATAACAAAGAAACAAAATGACAATTCATCCTCTGAATTAATCTTAACAAAAAAATGAAAAAAACAAATTTAGAGAAGCAAAAAATTAATCATTTTCACAGTTCTTCTCACAAGAGAGACTTCAATAATTTTTTTTGCTGCCCGTACCCTTAATTTTCCTGCCAGTGTGCAATCTCCCAGAATATCGACAAACGTCAAGACTGATAACGCGTGTATTATGCGCCACATTGAGTCATCGCGATCCTCCAGAGCCTCACCAATTGCCCCCAGCTTATTGAACTAGTTCATCTGTTATCTGGAGTGCCCGAGATTACGAGTAATTGCTGAGAATCAATTCAGATTTTTTTCCATGCTAATCCCTCTCGCACGTTTGAATCGGTGGAATAATAACTCCATCAGTCGGCGTTATCACCCAAGGACGACTCTCGAGTGATAAATATATTCATTCTCCAGCGGTGATTTCAATTATTCACCGAGACTCGTCGTTAATGATTTATTGATGCTCGATCAATAAATCAATAAATCATTAATGACTGATTAAATCCGTTGTATTCAGGGGAATCTGACGTGCGTTCCGGAGGTCAACGCGGCTTCGAAAAATTCTCCCATTATTGTCAATTAGTCTTTCAATACATCTTTAAAAAAATTTTAAAATTGAAAAAGAATTGAAATTTCTTGGAGTAATTTCCAGGAAAGAGACATTAGATCCGATTTCACTTTAAAGAAATTGAATCAACGTTTCTCAATTGAATATCGATGAATCAAATATTTCTATAGCTGTAAATATAACAAAAAATAACAAAAAAATAATAAAATGTAACAAAAACGTAGCGTAAATTCAGAAATCATCATGTATTTTTTTTCTACAATATAATTACAACAATTTCTACAATTTGAAACTGGCATTTCACGAGGAATGAATGTATTTTTTATTTAAGAAAAAAACTGTAAGGCCCAATGGGTGTAATATTTATCTCAACATTTTTTTTCATTAGTGGTATTAATTTGATATTAATACTCTCGTCGAAAAATTCTCGCCTCTGATCACGATATTTGCGCCATGCAAAGGTTACGCATATGTCACTGAATGATAGAGCACGTCACCTAGCCTCCCGGTCTCTCCATTGTTCTCCGCTCTCAACTGACTCCCGGATTATGATTTTTGTCCCTCTCTAAACAGTCGGATATATATTCTAATGATTCACGTTTATCCACAATTAAGATTTTCACTCCCCGCTGCGAGTGTCCCATTGTTCGTGCACTGTGACCCACTCGGAATTTCACAAATCAATGTTTAATTCTATTTGTCGAAGAGTTGAGTGGGATTTTCTCAACGAGATTACTTATTCCATTCGAATTGTTTGGCTTTCTCACTGTTGCGTGATGCCGAGGTCGACGCATTGGAATAAATAGGAATGGGGAATTTTCACTAATCGTTTTCTGTGAAGAACATTTGTGGGAACGAGTGAAAAAGAAGTAGATCTGTCAGACATGCATTTGAATAAAAATAACAATAATTCCGCGAAGTAGGAAAAATTATCGCCAAATTTCCGTGAAATTATTCTTCTCCCCAAAATATTAATTTCAGTGCTCCCACTGCTAATTTAGTTATATCTCCTGACCAAACGTTTAACCCTGACCTAAGACTCTCGACTCGGCGTGATATCGGTCTACAAAATGTGCGTGTAAGGCCGTCTCTTCGAAATCCCGATCCATGACTTTCCGTTTTCATCATAAACGACTGAACGAATTAATAAATTAATCATTATTTTTGTTCCTCGTAATCCAAACGGGAAAAACAATCTTCGAACACGAATGAATGCGATACTGCGGACTTTTGATGTTTTATCTGCGCGCTAAAGTCTAAACTATTCAATGCAAATTCGTGAGTCTCGGGTCCTTGGAGCAACTCGTATAATGCCGCTGGTGCCCAGGCTATATTCAAGTGGCCATTCAGTATCATACGATGAGGAAGAGGAGTTGTCAGTTGGATGCACGCATTCGGATTCTGTCGCGATATCTGCAGGTTTTGTATGGATATGTCGGCAGGGGTATTTTATGATCAGGGAAGTGGCGCTAGGGATGAACACCTTCCGGTTGGGATTATCTTTCTAAAACCAGTTTTTCACTTTAAAAATTTTTAGATAAAATTTCCGGTTCTTGGGGATTTTTTCCAAGTGGTACTTAAATTTAAAGTTAAGTTTTGAAACACTTCGTAATTGAAAATTAAACAGCTGATCGAAAAATCAGTAAAACGGGTAAAATTTAATTCAATTATTCCTTGAAAATTCATAAAAATTAGAAAAATGGAGGTAAATATATTCTTGAATTTTCAATTGACTGAAAAAGTACAAATATTATTAATAATAATGATAAATAATAAAACAAGATATAAATGGAATTTAAAATCATCAGATGCATGAAATTCCTCTTCCCTCATCCCAAATGATAATTGATTTTTTTTTCCCACGAGATCTCAAATCCCCATGATTATCCCTTCAGATTCCCCGGCAAACTGACGTGAATACTCATCATCATTACGCACCGTTCGGCAATGTCCAAAGCATAATAAAGATTAATGGCTCAAAAAATAGGCAAAACGTGAAGCCGACACCGCGAATAGTCACGTCGGGGATTTATCGGGCTTCTGCGACCCGTTACCGAGAAGAGAATTTGAAGTTTCCATCGGAGTCAGGTAGACAACAGGACGTATTTCAATCGACCCTTGGGTGATTCTTTTGCTTCAGTTTCTCCATGGGTTGAGAGCTCCATTCCCTTTCTCAGGGATCTCGGGTATCCGGGGGTTGAGGACGATTCATCTGGTATTTTTAATAATTGATTTTTAATCCGTCACACATCACGTCAAGAGAAATCTATACCGCGAATTAAATCCGAGGCTGGCAAAAATTTTGTGGTATATATTTTCTATAAAAAGGGGAAGAAAAAGTCTGGGCGAAACGCGATGTGGTTGGCAGTTGTGGGCGCCGCCATCTTGCTTGGATATTTCCTCCCTCTGGCGGAGGGGGCTTCAAAGATGGCGGCGGCCCCACCTCGTGTTTTCAAACATTTCTTTAAATTATTTATCCTCTTCAGGGCAGCCTCAACTCGCTTCATCTGGTTTCTATAAAATGAACAAATTTTTTAAGCCATATTTCAGATTTTTCCGCCTCTTCATGACTGAAAATTCATAACGCAATGTTCTCCCCGCATTTCACTCATTTTTTTTACTCTAGAGGTCTCAGATCAATCAAAAAATACTTCCCGATGTTGAATTAATTTTCAATATTAAATTGAATACATGAAAAATCCTGCAATGTCTCGAGGAAAAATGTATGTTTCAAAACATTATCGATTTTATCTACAACAAATACGTCAGTTGGGGGAAAAAAAGTTCTGAAAATTCTCACGCCGATTTTTTTTCAATTCTCCCTCTTGCGTAATAGATACCAGATGGTCGATTGAATATCGCTCCATGTTTCAAAGTTACTATTCAGAGGTACTATCGCTCCGCCGTAACAACTCACTGACCTTGATGTCAACTGGGTGCTTCTCACGCGCCGGTGAACCCATGGCTCATCTTCAATTCTCTTTTATCTCCATCTTCCGCGCTAGGATTTAATTTTCGTAATCGTCTATCGAGTTGATGGTGGTAATCAAAAATAAAGTGTACAATTAAATGTCAATTTGATGGTTTTTCTAGTTTCTGCCTCGAGAATACAGATTTTTTTACGTAATGATGGTCATCATGGTGTATTATTGCTCATTTTATGTTTCTTTTTAATGAGTAATGAGGTGATTAAATATTCATTATTTCGGTGAGTATTTATACGACCCGTCGCTGTTCCAAGGACGCACGAATTCAATGGTGAAATAGAAAGAATCAATTCCAATTTGGAAAGAGGAGTTCTTATTTACATAAACCGTCGGTAATCGCTGATAACGCAGGAACCGCAGAGTGAAATTTAACAACTTTTTTTTTATTTTCGAGATATTTTTTCAAGCTTCAAAATGGAATTTGATTTAGCGAAATTGTATCGTTCGATCAGGAGACATTCGTGATTGAAGATGAAACGGTCCTTTTTTGGAATTCAAAAGGGATTGCAAAATAAAAATAATAAAATCTGCCTCAGGCTCCAAGATACATTCTAAAAAAAATTGACTAATAATTTTTAATTCGATTTAGGGGGAAAGAGTCATAAAATTTCCTATTTCTCGGAAAACTCAATGAAATTAAAAATTTTCGAGCGGCAAAAATTTTTCAAGACGAAAAATTATTGACTTATTTAAATTTTCAATAAGTGATCTTAACAAATTGACGGTTTCAAAATTTACCGGTAATCATGATTTATGAACATGGCTATCCTGAATTGAATAATACCTATTTTCCCCTCCAATTAAAACCCCCCAGCAATTAAAATAACCAAAAACGTAATACAAGTGTTCATAAAGTATTAAGGTAAACGTTACAATAGCTCTCGCGCGTCACGCGTCACCGCAAATACTCACCCGCGCTGAATACGCACAATTGTGGTACAGATCGCAAATACTCGAGGTCCCGTCAAAGTGGCGCCCGTCGGTGTCAATTCTACCAGCCCCTAATACCGAGTCAATAATATTCTCCCTTCAGGATCAATCCCGGAAGCAAAAGCCGGCGGCTCTATAAATACCTCGTATCAAGACGGGGGCAATTGATACTGCACTGGCGGCTCAATCTAAATCGAAACAGTCGGGGTCAATAATCGATTCCATGTTACCACTCGCGCGGAGATTGAATCGTGCGGTTTAAAGTGTTTTTTATTTATTTAAAACGTCGAGAGTTTCCCCCTAAAGTGTTCGATTTAATTGCACACATCAGTCTGACTGATGGAATGTAATTCAACAGTCTGCATAAATACATTTGCCCAGGGAGATTGTCGGATTTAATTGAAATCTTGTTGGGGGGCGTGTCCAGTACCCGATCTGTCGTTGATAGAGGTACTGGTACGACCCTCACGAC